CCAGTCACAGCCAACTCGTAGCCCAAACTCTGATTCTAAAACAAGACTGGCCACTCTGCCTGCATGAGTGCATACCTACTACATGTATTCAAGGGGACAAAACAAAGAATAATTTCTCCGCTTCTAGACTCCAAGTAATAGAACCCTCTAAGCAAAAATTACACTTAAGCACCGCAAGGTATTTTGAACCTTCTTTGTTACACTTTGAAGAAGAGCTAAAAATGAACAGCAAAGGGGCTGGGGGTTTAGCTCAGCGGCGTAAGCACCTGCCTTGCAAGCAGGCGGTCGTGAGTTCGATCCCCGGTACCGATAAAAAGGAAAAAGACAAAAAAAATAAATAAATAAAATAAAAAAAAATAAAAATGAACAGCACTAGAGATTACAAAAGCACTCTGAAAGAAAAAAACGTACAAATACAGCACCAAAGATCAGCTGTCTACAAATGCAATGATTAAGAGAACCAGCAAGTGTATCAAGAAGCAAAGAATGGTGAAAAACTTCCTTAATGCTTTTATAGCGATCAGTAAAAGGAAAGGTCCACTGAAAACAGAAATTACAATATGTAAAACATTCTCAAAAACTCAAGCCAGGTTTGGTGGTGTACTCCCAGCACTCGGGAGGCTAAAGGAAGAGGATCCACTGTGAGTTCCAGGCCAGTCTAAACCGAATAGTAAAATCGGGTCTCAAAAATACCAAAAAAAAAAAAAAAAAAAAAAAAAAAAAAGACTTCAAAAGATCCCAGTGTAGTTGTGTCCCAGACTCAGAGGAGAGAGTCAACAGCGCTGAGTCACTAGTAGAATCTTTAAAGCATCTTTATTTGGGGTGTTGAGACTTGAACCCAGGTCTTCATGCACACCAAGTATGCCCTAGCCCATCTCTTTTCATTCATCAATTTCACATAAAAGGTCTTATTTGCAGATTCCTAAAAATAAAAACAAAAATCCTGACACTACTAGGCCAGCAGTCTGGCAGCCAGCAACTGGCTGGCACCCATCAGTGTGTCATCACAAGGAAATGGCACTGCCTACCTACCTGCCCTGGCTCTGGGTTAAAGTACTTGTTTAAGAGCAGATGTGGAAAAGAGCTGAGAAAGGACTCATCTTCCTAAGAGGAAAGCTGTAGAAGGTGGCAACACCTGTCCTAAGAAGCGGACTGCCTCCCCACACCCGCGCTCCTGTACACAGAAGGGCTGCACACTTTCGGCAAGAACAACTGGGTCACTAGGCATGGTGGCTCACGCCTGTAATCCCAGCGCTCGGGAGGCTGAGGTAGGAGGATCCTTGTAAATTCAAGACCAGCCTGGACTACAAAGTGAGCTCAAGGCCAATCTGAACTACACAGTGAGACCCTGTCTCAAAAAGACCAAAACAACAACAACAACAACAACAACTGGGTTAGCCTTAAGGAAACCTGAGGTACTTTTTGTAAAATGCTAAAAATCAGTTGGAAGTTTTCATCTTACATTTTTACCTTAACTTCTCCTCCATTAAGAAAAACTTACACTACTTGTATTAAATGAGTTTGAAACCTCTGAAAACTCTTAGAAAAAGAAATTTATTTTATGGTGGCCTGTAGCAGTATCACATGTAGCATTAACACACAAAAATAAACTTCACACTGACCTATCAACATGCATGAAAATTAACCCCAAATAGGTAATAGACCTAAATGTACAACCTAAAATATAAAATTTCTAGTGTGTGGGCTAGCAAACAAGAGTCAACACCCCCTCCCCCCAACACACAAGAGACCAGCTGATCCAGAGAAACACAGGCTGCGATGATAGCTATTGAGGTGAAATTCAATCTGATGCTTGTGGTGTTTGATGTTTCACTGACCTTGCAAGTCCAGGGCCAGTGGTCTGATAATCTGTTCTGAGGATTAGCGGTACGGTACGCAGTGTGTCATCTAGGGGACATCTCCTTCTGAGGGTTGTAGTCATTATTGATTCTCTATTGTCTTGTTTTAAAGTCTTGTTTCATTTTTATTGTTTTGTTGGGTTGAATTTTGTTCTATTTTATTTTGTTATATCCATGGCATGTGCAGCTATTTTAAAGATGGCAAGATACAGTAGCCATTTTGGGTTTACTATTGTCTCGTTTTGAAGTCCTTTATTGCAGTCATTGTTTTGTTAATTTATTGGTTCTATTCTGTTCTGTTGGATTTATACTACGTCTAAAAGTATCTGCAGCTATTTTGAAGACAGCAGGAGGCATTATGGTAACTATTGTTGATTTCATAATCTTTTGAAGCCCTAAGTCACTTACACTGGTTTTATTGGTTTTGTTGTTTCATTTTCCTTGGTTTTATTCTCTTTAAAATTAAACTAAATAAAACTTCTAGAAGAAAAAAAGGAGAAAATCATGATGAAGTTGGATTAGGTAAATTTCTCAGAAAGGATCTCAAGGTCATGATTTTTAAAAAACGATACACTAAACCTCAACAAATTTAAAAAACCACTCCTCTCGGAAAGATTCCATTAAAACAATTTTCTAAAAAATCTACAGACTGGGAGAAAAACCTCTAAAACTCACTTACTGTCTAAAGCACTTAAAACTCAACAACAAAAAAACAAATTTAGGCCCTGGGTATGATAGTGGCATACATCTGTAGTTCCAGTATCTCAGGAGGCTGAGGCATGAGGCTCACTTCAGCATAGAAAGGAGGTACAAACCAGCCTGGGAAAAATAAAAAGATCTCTCATAAAAAATTTTTTTTTAAATTAAAAACAGATGAATTAGGGGAAAAGAGGAAAGAACGAAGGGAAAAGGAAAAAGACAAAAATTAGTGTATGTATATACAAAAGATAGCTAAGATGGCTCTACTAATAATTGCTATTAGTTCTTGAAAAAGAACAGTTAATACTGATGATTAGATCAATTTTGTGTGTCCATATCCTGTAGTCTAAGAAATTCTTTTGAAGATAAAAATATGCAATGTAACAACCATTATTAAATTCCTACCATTTTGTTTTGAAAGCCTATATTGTTATTGTCTTGAGTTTGTTGCTGTTGCCTGTCTTTTTTGCTTTTTGTTTTTTTTTTCTTAAAAGTAGAAATAAAAATGAATTACCCAGAACAAACAAAAAGTACCTCTGCAATTGACATAATAAAAGACATATACAAACCTTACCAAAGACAGACAAATGGCAAAAAAAGCAAATGAAAAGATGATCAATTCTATCAGTTATGAAAATTCATATTAAAACTACAATGATGCATTACACATCTAACAGAAGAGCTAAAATTTTAAAAACTGATCATAGCAATGTTAAAAGACGTGGAAGAGCCAGATATCTCAAATACAGCACTAAGGAGAATGTAAAATGCACAACCACTCTGAGAGACAGTGTGGCAATTTCTTACCAAGTTAAATACGCACCTGCCTTCAGAACCAGTGATTCCACTCGCATTGAGAAATGGGAGCATACATCTATATAACAACTGGCTATACATAGTTATTCACAGAAATTTCATTTATAATACAACAAAACTGCTAATAACCCCAATGTTCACTACCTGGCAAATGGATAAGCGTTATTGGCAAATGGATAAGTGTTATTTCCATACAGTGGAATACAAGTTAATAATTAAAAGGAATGAAACAGTGAATACATACTATACAGGTGTATGTATTGTGCCAAATCAAAAAAGCCAGTCCAAAAAAGAGGCATTCTAGGTGAATCCATTTACACAAACATTTTATAAAATATAAACTCATCAATAGCAGAAAAAGCAGACCAGCAATTTCTTGGAACCTAGGAGGCTTAAAAAATGGACAGACAAAAACTCAAAAATGCCAACAATGGGAACGTTCACTCCCAAATGTGCTAGCCATGTCCTATATCGGAAAGGTTATCAAACAGTAAACTGTAAACACGTATAGTGACTCAAGACAGCTGACAACAAAGAGTGAACAACGGGAGACATCTTACAAAAAGAGACAGATGGCTGGCACCAAGGCATGAACCCCTACTGATCTCAGGAAAGGCATGTCACCCCATCTGCCAAGACAGGCATGATAAGAGACACTCCTGCCTGGCCAGAGAGAAACTGTGCCCCCTTTCCCAAGCTAGACAAGAAGGCGAAAGAAAAACTGTTTTCAAAAGAAAACGAGAAACCACTGCGTTAAAAGGTTAGCAGCTCAAATCAAAACTCTTAGCTTAACTGTGTCTTACAGTAGTGGGAAAGCATCCAGGAGAGCCCCAGTTACTCTGGTTGAAGCAGGCGTGAACATGAACTCAGGACAGAGGTTTGCCAGGTCTGTGTCTGAGTATACACTGAGGGCTGAGGAGAGGTGTCACAAGGGAGACAGGAGAGATGGACATAACAGTAGAACACAAGGGCAGAATTTTACGAATCACAACGTAGGGAGGGCCACTACTGATATGTCATTTTCTGTCAAAGTTAACTACTCCAGCAGTCTCATGAGGTACCATCCCCACCCACTGTGAAAGGCAAGCGAAGCCTTTACATCAAACCATGAACCTCCACAACTACAAAGGAATTACAAAGTCCAGTGAGTGAATAAAACCTAAATTAAGCCAAAAAAGTGTGCAGGTTCACTGAAGAGATGACACTAAAACATTTTTACAAAATTCAGACCCAAGCCAATTCAATTTGAGCAGTGATTTCTAAAATCTTAAACTATCCTCAAGCACCCTACAAGGGAAACAAGACTATTTTAAAAATATAACCACAGTGCCAAACTACTACAGAGAGTAGTCAACCCTACTGCACGAAGAGAAGTCCTAGCATAGGGAGTTAACTTGTCCCAACCTCGAAGTCAGACTGAAGATCTGGACAGTGGGACTATCTGCAGTGTCTGATACTTCACATGCAGTAAGAATTACACTTTTCTCCCTTATTAACAGGCCAGTTTTTTGAAATGAGAAATCTACTCAAGGCCAAATCCTAAGTCTACACCCCCTGTTCTCAAAGCCTACCACTTCACTTGCCCCCCAATTACATGTACAATGCATTTGGTTTCACAGTCCTTACCTGTTTGGAAGGTAGGATTCGCGCCGTGGTACATGTTGGGAGAATAAGCAGGAGCTGCTGCTGCATAGCCCATGGGGAAACCAGCTGCAGGAAAACATACACAGCACAATGGATATTGTCAATCAAAGTGTGAGATGATCTCACAGCTAGAGCTCTCGAAAACGCTGCTCTTCCCATCCTCTCCAGACCCCAACAGCACTCTGTGTGCTTCACAGTTCACCTCTTTTTTCCTCAGACTTCTGATGTGTCATAACCATAGTCAAGTTTTGTGGGGGATAGGATGCTGGGGACCGAACCCAGGGCCTTGCACTGAGCTTTTTATTTTGAGATTGGGTTTCATTAACGTGCCCAGGCTGGCCTTGAACTTATGATCCTCCTGCCTCAACCTCCCCTGTAACTGTGTGCCAATGTGCACAGCCATAATCATGTGTTTTAAACCTCTCATCAAATGCTTATAACTTTCTACAACTGGAAAAAATTTTGTAAACTTCGTCTAAATCTACTGTCAAGAGCCAACCCCAGAGTGATGAGTGTGTGCTCAGCACCTGTGAGGCCCTCAGCATCAAAATAAATAAGAATAGAAAAATAAATAATCACAATGACCAAAAGACTTTTAAAAAGAAGCCAAGCTTGGACTTGGAGATTTAGCTCAGTGGCATAAGCACCTGCCTAGCAAGCACAAGGACGTCAGTTCAATCCCCAATGCCGCAAAAAAAAAAAAAAAAAAAAGAAGCCAAGCTAGATTAAGGAAGCCTCCAACACTTTCAGAAGTTTCATTCCAGATTCCAACTGCAATTTATTCCTTAGCAAGAATTGTAAGAGGGCTAAAAATACCATGTGTTAGGTCCCATATATCTGGCTTTACTACCCAGAATACAAAAGAAGCATCATTCTGGACCCCCACATCCCATTTCTGCTTCTGTCAGTGAGACAGTAAGTGTTTTAAAGCCACGTATTCTCAGTGACTCCAAAAACAAAGCCACAATATTGCTCATTCTCAATTAAAAGCTAATTTTTGTTTGTTTTTGTTTTTTTGAGACAGTCTCACTATGCAGTTCAGGCTGACCTGTAACTCACTATGTGACTCAGGCTGGCCTCAAACTTATGGTAATCCTCCTGCCTCAGCTTCCCAAGTGCTGGGATTACAGATGTGCATCACCACACCTGGCTGATTTTTTATTCTTAAGCACTACTGTATTTAAAAATTCTACATTCATTGTAGATTTCTTCATATTGTGAAGTTCTAACCCTACTTCCCCAATTAAGGGTCACTAGCCAATCCCAGGCTGTCAATGTTATTAAGCTTCAAAATTCTTCCTCTATAACCACACAGAAAGGGGAAAAACCTACAGGATTTACACAAAAGCAAGGTGGTCTTTCTTAATACAAACCATGTCTACCAGTAATCCTTACTATGAACACAACAGAAATATTAAACACCTTGAAATGCTCTAGTCAGAATCCTGCCCCCAGGGTGTTCATCAGCAGAGACGTCACCTGCCCAACCCTCCTCAGAGCCAGGGGCCCTTGAGACTCTTAACCCCTCACCTGCCCCTGCTTCACCATGCTGAAGATGACCCTTGTGTAACAACAAGGGCATGAAGAAGCGTTATTTGCACTGAAGACACACAGCCAACTGAGGCTTTCCAGCCTGATTAGTGTCACAACTACTTGGGAAAGGCTTCAGGTCTCTATTCCTATCTTCTGGAACCTAGAAATGAACTTGAAAGGAAACTGTGGTTTTCAAAACAAACTGTGCTGAGGGGGCCACAGAAAGTGTTTCTGAGGGTATGTGGACCAGGACACTGAAGTGTACCATGATGCCTAGTAACCAAGTGAGGAAACCTTAAGGGTTAGCTGAAAACAGGAAGTAGGGCAGGGAACATCTTTATGGATGGGTTTTATATTTTCTGCAGCATTTTGAAAGCAAGGCTCTCACAAGAGCTTGACACTCTAGCACTGAGCTACACAACCAGCTCACAGGTTTTATTTGATGGCTCTAAATCAGCTCAAACCCTGGGAGCACACAGCAGCAAGGGCGGGGATGCCCCCCTGCTCCATCTTCCTGCCCCTCCAAGCTTTCCTTCAGGTATCTGGGGAACAAAGGTCATCACCCATGGCCCACAGGAATTCCTACAAGTGCTCAGTTCTCAGAGATGAATCTGCTGCTTCAAATTTGTTTTCCTTGGTTCTTGAAACTGATTCTCTTCTACCTCAGCAGGATTCACTGTGGGTTTCCCATTTGGATCCTCGTTTTCCCACTGCCCTCTCCAACGAGTAAGGAAAGAGCATGTGCAGCCAAATGTTTTATCAACTCATTTTGCATCCAGGGCAGATTCCACCTGAAATGGACCTAAAGTTGCCTCTGAAAGCCAGGGCAGTGATTTCCATCAGCATCCTGTGGGCTGACTGCAAGTTCCACCAGAAACCAGACTTTTGAGGTCCACAGAATGAGGAGCTGCCCTCAACTCTCCCACAGGGGCTGCCAGGATATAGCTCAGATATCAAGGCACCAGTTAGAATGCTCTAAAAAATGGTTTATTTATTTAAAAACTAACCACCATTAGACTAAATCATACCCTTCAGACCTCTGCAAGAATTCCCACAAAATTCAGATTTCCCCATCTCTCCCCATAAACTCTGAGTAAACTCTCAGAAGTAGTTTGCTCTGTACTTACCTACTACCATTTAAGAGTCCCCAGAAAACTACTGTCATGTTGCTGACCATTCTCACCCCACCCTTCTTAAAAAGGAGTTAAATGCTCTAAAATCACACAGAAGACATGCACAACTTACTTAAAGCTTAGTGACCCACCAGAAACAGGATGCCACCACATCCCCGGTCTCTGTGCAGGAGCTGAGCCCTCTGATCCCCTGGGAGCTTCTGCTGCTTCCGTGCCTTGCCTCTCCTATCCTCCACTCTATCCCTCACCAGAACATAGCTCACCTTACTATCTCTACTCCAACTACTCCAACAGTTTCTACCTGGGCTGCACAAAAACTTGGAGAAAGTGAAGGAGGAGTGGAAAAAGGGGGAGAGAAACAAAGATCACCACAACACTATCCAGCTGGCAAAGAAAGCCACAAAGTGGACCTTCACAATTTCTAAGACGGTGTGTGTGACAACCAATGAAAAACCCTCAGCAGGCTAAAATACAGGTCCTCATCACTGAAAAACAAAAGACAAGGACCCTTGACAACAAAAGACCCACAGGTGACCCAGAGACTGCAGCCATCTGACAAGGTCTCTAAAATACACGAGTGCCTTTTGGGAATAAACAGAAGGTGTAGGAAATAAATGACAAGTTATTATTTAGCGCACAGATTTTATAACAAATTTGAGCACAATTAGCAGAATTAGATAAATGGATATAGGTCAGTACTCATATTTAAGTTCAAATGAAGAAAATCACACTAATTTTTAAGAAGCAAAAACTATTCTGATAGAAATCAGAATGCAATTATATGTTCAGTCTGAGTGAAAGTAAGTGTCCACTTAAAAATCTACAATTGAAGGCTGTAAGCAATCTAAAAATTCAAAGCAGTAGGCAAATGTAGGCTCTCCAAAGATATCACAATGGATCCCTAGAATCTGTGATTATAACCTTATTTGGAAAAACTCTTTGGAAATATGACTAAGGACCCCGAGATGAAATCATCCTGGATTATCCAAGTGGTCCTGAAATCCAACAAGTATCCTTACAAAAAGCAAACAGAAGAGAAGATGTGACTACGGAGGAAGAAATGGGGCTGATGTGGCCACAGTATGACAAGCAGGAGAACCAACAGTGCCAGAAGCTAGAAGAGGAAAGCAATGTTCAGTGCCTCTGGAGGGACTGAAGCCTGCCAATACCTTAACTTCAGACTTCTGAGAAAATAAATTCCTGTTAATTTAACGTACTGAGTGTGTGGTTGTAATTTATTATACCAGCTACAGGAAATAAATATACTCAGCAAAAATGTGCCCCCAAAATGAAAGAAAAATAAAGACACTATCACAAAGACAAATTTCACTCCAACATTTATGAAGGAAAAAATACTAAAGGGAGTTGTTCAGACAAAGGGCAGTGAGTGCAGACAGAGCCATGTCAACAGAGAAAGCAATGAAGGGTGTTAAAAATAATGTGTTAATACAAATGGAGGCTGACTGCACCAAATAAAAACAGCAGTCTACCCTGGCTACTTATTCAGGGTGTTGAGGCAATAAGATGTCACGCTCAAACCTAGTCTAGGAAACTTATCAAGACTTTGTCACAGGGTGGGGAGTTTAAGAGGAGGGACAGGTTACAGATCAGTAGTAAACAGCCTCTGGGTTCAATTCCCAGTATCACCTCCTTCAAAAAAGGAAGGTATTAAGTATGGCAGAATAAAAAGAAAAAAAGGTATAAAAAGTTGTGATCTTTATAGTAACCATTAAAGGCATAGTAAAAGAATTTCTAATACAAGGATAAATCAAAGAAAAATATTTGATTAATCCAAAAAAGAAAAATTAAAAGAAACTAACAATGAAAGAACAATGAATATTCTAGTTATAAATTCAATTATGTAAGTAATGACTACAATTAAAAGACAGTGAGCCTTGGGCAGGAGAGTTCCCTCTCTCATCAAAGTGCTCCCACAAGCTTGAACCACAGCGGCACAAACAGCTCTAATCACTCTTTATCAGACTGGTTACTAATAAAATCTGTAAAAAATCTCCTGACAGAGCAGTCTGAGACATATGAAGTATAGCCCTGTGAAAACATGTTGAATGTAACAAGAAAGACAACAGGTCCACCTGCTTGTCAGACCATAAAGCAATGTAAAAGCACTCTCTCTCCTCGTAACATCCTGTCACCTTTTTGGTGGGGGGGGGGGTGTTATTTGCCTTAGAACTTTGCGAGTCACCTAAGTCAACATTTCTGACCCTCTGAAGTCTAAATAACCTGCAGTGCTGACTGCACTGAGACCTCACTGATACAGTTTTATAAAAGTCAGGAAGGCTCAAAATATCAAAACCAAACAAAAACCAGGTAAGTATAAAGAAAAAGAAAAATTATATAAAAGCCTACAAAATGTAAAATCTTTTTAAAGTTACAGAAATTTTCTTTTAATCTGAGCACAGTGTCACACACCTATGATCTCAGCACTTGGAAAGGCTGAGGTATGATGACCCTAAGTTCAAGTACAGCCTGAACAACTCAAGTGATTCAGCAAGACCTTGTCTTAAAATAAAAGAGGGCTAGGAATTTTAAACCAAAAAGGGAAAAAACCTAAATGGGTTTTCATTGCACAATTCCCTTGACCGGGGGTCAGCAAATAGCAGCCCGCCATCTTTCTCAGCTCAGTGAGAGCAGCACCCAGACACTGGCGAAGGCCACTTCTGCACTCCATAAAGCGAGTCCCGCACAGTCCATGCTCCTCAGGACAGTTTCTGCTGGGCCTCTGCAGTGTACTAATCCCACCCTTCCCCAACCACAAAGCAGCACAAAGTACAGACATTTCAGCAGCCACAGCCTTGCATATAACTGATACTGATCACCAGCAATGTTTTAGGGTCTACCAAATTGTAAGTTTCTAACTGCTTCCTTGGCTCCAGATTCCCTCAGGATCTTCTTCAGCTAGTTAGTACTTTGCTGACACTAGTGTCATAGTTTAAAAATAGTAAGCCTCACCATTAAACTGTCTTTCATCAATCTGGAAAACACCATCACTCCTTTTGTTCCAGTCTTTACTTAGTCCTCACATTTTTTAACCAGCTTCCTGCTTCCCCATGTTCCAGTGTTTTTTGTTTGTTTAGTTTGTTTATCGTTCTGAGCCTAAACTCAAGACTTTCACACTGCGCTGCCACTCCAATACTTTTTTATTTTTTATTGAGTCCAGTTGTAACTAGATCACTAAGTTGCCCAGCCTGGCTTGCATTTGTCATCCTCCACAGCCTTGGAGATTGTGCCAGTTAATCTTAACCATCAAGCACAATGGATTAAATAACTCCTAGAGAGGTGACTGGGCCATCAGAGTGCTCTGCACATCAGTGGATTAACCCAAGGAAGGTCACAGCGGACTGTGCTGTTAGGAGGCAGGGCACAGTCAGAGGACAGGTCAGTGGGGAGGCCCTTAGAGGGCATTACCTTGATGGAGCTCCTCCCTTGTGCTCAACTTCCCCACTGCCTTGAACTAAGAGGCTTTGCTCCGCCAGGCTTTTCTGCCATGATTCGGCCTTTGAGGTAGCCAAACACTGACAGAAATCACTGAAACCACAAGCCAAACTAAATCTCTCCTCTTCAAACTGCCAGCCGTTTCAGCAACAGAAAAGATGACTAACATACCGACTTTCTTTATACTACACTCTGTGTTGTTTCTTTCTTTAGCAGTGTTCCATGTGCACATTAACCTGAGGGGGTTTTTTTGGTTTCTGATACCAGGAATCGAACTCAGTATCTTGTGCTTGCCAGGCAGGTGCTTGTGCTGATAAGCTACATCCCTGGACCCCTAACCTGAGTTTTGTTCAAATGCTTTTTTTTTTTTAAAATTTAAAATCTAGACAATTGGTTTTTCCTCAGTATCTTGCTCCTCTCTTACATTTTTTATTCTTTCTCTTGCACTTGAATTTTCATAAACTTGTCTGTACATACAGCTTGTATCTGCTAGTTCCATTACTGTAGTCTGCCATGACTGGAGGTTTTTACATGATGAACAGTGCCCCATATTTTGTAATAATTCACAGGTAAACAGGCAGAATTTTTGTGGAAAGCCCACACAACCTGGATTGAAAACAATGCCTCCACAGCAATTACACTGTTGCTACTTTTAGGAGCCTCAGGAACAAAGAAGGATGATGACTACTTTTTCTGTTATTCAATTGCTGTAAGCGCTCTAAAAAGTTAAGTAATATGAACAAGAGTCCCAAACAACCCTGAGGGCTACAAATGCTTAGAAAATACTGTCTCTTCTCAGAGTCCCCATAGGTACAAGCTTTCTCACAGGGTTCATAAATGAACTTCTCAGTCTTCACTCTCTAGAGATCAGACAAAAGGGCCCACTCTTACTCTGTCTCAAAAGGTCCTCAAGGTCCTCATCCAGTTATGGAAAACCTTTTAGAGAACAAGTGCAAAAATGCAACCCAAAACCCACTTATTTAACATAACATGCAAACATTGCAGTTAAACCTGAATACTGAGGTTTTAATTTAGGAAAAAAACCTTTACATTTACATCTTTTGTTTCAGAAAAAAACACAACTTGTGTGCCATAGGTTTTCTACCACTGCCTTAAGCATTATGTTCTGTCCCTGTGTAGACTGTCAAAATCTACGACAGCAAATCCTTCTAGGATAGACCCAATGCTTGAGCACCTTTTTTCTTCCTTTCTTACAAGTTCAGTTACACACGTGTAAAATGTTTTATGCCATTTTCTTAGTTTTGTAGCAACATTGTTTTAGGGTTGCTCTTGTATCACATTATTAAAACCTAAGATGACAAGATAACCACTGGCTATATCTGACCAAACAGCTCCCCTAGGTTTTGCTTCCCAACGTGCCTCATAACTCATTTGCCTAGGTAACTCCACTAGGGGCAAGGAATGTGGTTCAGGCCTAAGCAAGTCCACAGGATCCCCTATCTGGCCCAAAGTAGAAACTGAATTCAATTAGGACAAACCCCATGATTGTCTGAATAGGGAACAAGACATCCCATTGAGGTTGCTAAGGGGCAGAGATACCAGGCTCCTAAGAAGAAACTGTTTGAGGCACAGACCACAATGGAGAGGCATGGGCCCTATGCCCAATCCTGAGTCAACACTGAGGAAGAAAGGCTGAGACCAAGAGGTAAAGAAACTAGACCCTACTCCCACTGCTGAAGCCACTCAATAAAGTTTTGACCAAACCCAGTCTGTTCTTGATTTTTCACTTCCACTTAGCTTCTTCCTTGTCTCAACTACTCTGAAATTGTTTTTACTGACACGGAAACAGACCAAAAATGTTCAAAGTTCAATAATCAAAAGAAAATTCTACTTGCTTACCTGGGTAACCAATTCCTTTGGCATTTGCATAGGGAACCCCAGAAGATCCAGGGCTATAGACAGGATTCATGATTTCAAGAACTAGAAGGAAAAAAAAAAAAAAAAGATTTAGCCAGGCACTATTATTCTGATTTTTGTCCAGCATCAGTCCCAAAATGTGTGCAGCGAGAGCCTTTCTCTAGCCTACTATAAAACGTTTTTCAGTAGAGAACAAAAAACACCAATGTCATAACGTCTCACCAAAACCAGCACCTGGTGATGTTTTTTACAACTCTCCTGTCTTTTGGAGGTGAAATAGAACAAAGTATTCACTACACAGCTATTAAAATGAGGCAGGGGGTTCCACAAATACCCTAAATAGCCTTGTATTAGTTAAGATCTTGATTATAAAGATTAAGGAGATATGCCATGACTTTTCTGACTGAAGCCTATATACCACAGACTGAACCCACTGAAACTATGAGCCAAAATAAACATGTCCACAATAAACATTGTGGGAATTGGGGTCTTTTATAGCTTGTGTCCAGATGTCCCTCCAAGTCTCATGCAATCATAGGTGGGGCTTTTTCAGAGGTGGCTGGATCTACAGAGTGAGATACTAGGATTGATTCCTGGTGCAGTGCTAGAATCACTAGGACACTAGGATTAAGGGTATGAATGTAGCCCACCCAAACTAGCCTGGATAAGACATAAGGGACAGAAAAAGGTCTGGTTATTCCTTACTTGCTTTTGCTATCTTCTGTGGGCCATGAATGGGTTCTCCTTTGCAATGCCCCTCTGCCAAGCCTCCCTGTCTTAGAGCTAACCAACTATGGACTGACTATGGACTGTGAGTTTAATAAACTTCTCCCCATTAACTTTCAGTGTCAAATATTTCATCTCAGCAACAAGAAAAGTAACTAACACAAGGTCTCAGTTGAGAGAAAGGTTGACTTATATACCTACATAATGAAAATTTCAGAGCAGTGAAGAATGAAACTGAAAGACTTCCAATGCTCATGGATTGACAGAATTAATAGTGTCAAAATAGCCATATTACCAAAAGCAATGTACAGATTCAATGCAACCCTTATCAAAATATCAGTGACAGTCTTCACAGAACTAAAAAAGATGTCCTAAAATCTGCATGAAAACACAAAATACTGACAGCAAACCTAAGCTGAAAGAACAAGGATAGATCCAACTTCAAATTAAAAAGCCGTAACAAAACAGTATGACACAGGCACTAAAAGAGACATGTAGACCAACATAATAGAATAAAGAAACAGAAACAAACCCACTCAACTATCCTCACTGGATTCTGGACAAAGAAGCCAAAATAAACCTTGGAGAAAAGAAAACGTCTTTAATAAATGGTGCTGAGAAAACTAGGTATTCTTTTGTAAAAGAAAACTAGATTCCAATTTTTTTCACCTTATACAAAAATCAATACAAAATGAAACTTCAAAACTTCTAAAAGAAAACACAGTGAAACACTTGAAGCCACAGACACTCTCTTTCTGAATAGAATTCCAGTAAGAGCACAGGAAATAACAAAAATCGACGAGACTAAATCAAATTTAAAGGTTTCTGCAGAGCCAGAGAAACAACAGGTTGAAGAGACCCTAAACAGTGTGAGAAAAGCTTTACCAGCTACTCTTCTGACAGAGGATTAGTATCTAGACACATAGAAAAAACCTGAAAAACTTAATGCCAAAAATCAATAAGCCAACCAACAAATAGACAAATGAATTGAACAGAGGCTTCTCAAAAAAAGCGCAAATGTCCAGTAAGAATAAGAAAAAAATTCATCTTTAGTCATTAGAAAAATCCAAATAAAAACTACAATACAATTCTGTCCTATCCCAGTCAAAATGGCTGTCATCAAGATTACAAAACACAATGCTGGTGGGGATGCAGCAGAAAAAGGAATCCTCTACAACTGAGTATAACCACGATGGAAGTTAGAATGGAAGTTCCTCAAAAACTAAGAAAAAAAGAAAAAACACTAGTATCACTTGATTTGACCCAACTATACCATTCCTTCATATACAGCAGAAGCAAGTAAAGTCATCACACTTAAGGGTGCCACCATACCCATGTTCACTGTGGCACACTCAGCCAAGATACCGAACCAACCCAGATGCCCAACACGAGGGTGGATAATGAAAATGTGACACAGAGAGACAGACAGACTGCATTCTTTCTTTCTATCTAATCTATCTACTCAGCTACAAGGAAGAACAGTTTGCCATTTGCAAGAAAACAGATGGCTCTGGAAATCATGCTGAGCAAAATAGACCAGACTTAGAAGAGCAACTATCACATATTCTCCCTAATACTTTCAATCTAAAAAAGATGGTAAGTAGAGAAAAGACTATTAGACAAGAAGAAAAGGGAGAGGGAAAGGTATGAAGGCAGGTAGTGAGGGGATAGATATGATCAAAATATACATATTGAATTTCCTCTCAAAATGTGAAATTAGTAGCAGGACAGAGTCAGAGAAAGTGGCAGGGGTAGGGGGTGAAAAAGATAAAACTATGTTATGTGTACATATGAATTTGCCAAAATGAAACTCAATCTGTATAATCAATTTAAAAAATGAGTAGGGGAGGACCTCATGAAGAGGACCTTTGGAACTACTTCAAAAAGTGACAAGAACTATAAAACAGTGTTCAAAGTGAGGAGTATTTGAGTGGTATTAATAGATTATTATGTCTTAATGTTAGTTTTTAATTAAGCTGGTCACCCTGGGCTATATAAGCAAGCTCAAGTGAGACTGCACTACACAGTGAGACTGTCTCAGAAAAAAAAAAAAAAAACAAAAAATCACTCAGAGACAAAAGGTATAAGGGAATTCTCTGTACTTCCTATTCAATTTCACTATGAACCTAAGACTGCTCTAAAAAAAATTAAAACTTTAAAATTAAAAGATATCCACAAAATGTACATCTATTTATTTGTTCAGTGTCTGCTTCTTCACATCCCCAGCGAGAATGCAATCTCATAGCAAGTAGAGCACATGTCCTTGGTCATGCTGTCTGGGGTATCTCTAGGATAAGCAACACTGCCTGGCACAAAGTGGGCAAATAACTGCTGTGGGCAAATAACTGCTCACCTTCCAGAGCATGCACGGCTAGCAAACTGCATTACAAAAATGAAATAAAAAAAAAAACAAAACAAAACTAAACTAAATCTTCAGCTCACCGGACTTAATGTTCAAAATCAAGCTGTCCAGTATACAGAATATACTAACTCACATCCTTAGCCTGTGCAATAAACTTCATCCAAAGAGCATGAAGCTGGAGGATTTAAAGTTCAAGCCCAACCAGGGCAACTTTGAAAGACACTGTCTCAAACATAAAAAATAGAAAGAACTGGTGATGTAGCTCAGTGAGAAAGTTCTGGGTTCAACCTCTAGTGCAATAAACAAACCAGTAACATCAGAGATTATGACAATGATTGTCTCAGGAACTGTCCAATTCTTTTAGGCTTTGAAACAAAATCCAAATTTGCATGGCATCCACAACTACAGCTTTGTGGCAAATCTCAATCAGAACTTTCCAATGATAAGGCTCTATTTTATCTGTACTATACAGTATAAGAGCTACTTGCTGAATTAACACCTGAATTGTGTGGTCAGATTCTTTGTTTAACCTCAATTCAATCACATATGGTCAAGATTTTTGTTGGGTCATGGACAGTGCAGACATATGGCAAGAGCAAAATCAAGGATAGCAAAGTGCAGCAAGTACGCAGGCCCACCAATTTTGTGTTTAGTCACAGTTTAGGCCTACTACTTTTCTGCCCTTGAACCCATTCTTGGAGCTGCATAGCATTAGAATTGCAGAGGCAAGTAAGTAAGTCACCTACTTCCCTGGTTCAATTATCATCTCCCAAGAAGTAAGTATTTCCAAAACTTAGTTTTTGGTTCTATATTAGAATCTAATTTTATATTTGTCCTTGAAGTCAAGAAAAGCAAAGCACTGTGCAAAGGCCACAAAGAGAGAAAGGGGGATTAAAAAGGAAGTCAGTCCCTCCTGTGAGTTTACAATCCAGAAAACGTGTCATCCAACAGAATTTTCTGCAAAGAAGGAAATATGCCTGAACTACCCAAATATGTCAAATAAATTTTTAACAATCTCATGTAGATTAGTACCTATTATTTTGGACAGCATAGGCCTATAAGGAATAACACAAAAAGCATAAATAATAGTAACATAAGGCAACTAGTATCAAGTCAAAGGAGAACCGTGCAGAAAGCAAAACTTCAATGGGGGAAGGAGGAAACTGTCAAGAAAAACTTGACTGGGGGAGTATTTCCATTAACTTCCTGATTAACTGCAGAAAAGGAATATTGGCCAACTGGGCTTATTTGGAACTTAGGCTATGTGTAAAATACACAACAAATGATGGAAACATGTATTAGGTAACAAGTGGGGGGAGAGAATGTGTGCTGAGCATGAGTTAGCAAAGGACTGGCAACAGTTCATAAATCAGTGCAGCAATTAAACAGTTACTGTGAGACCCTGCAATTCCGCTCCCAGGTATACACCCAGGAAAAAGTAAATGTGTCATTACATCCAACACTATATGTGTTATGTTTATTTTTGCATTACTTGTGACAACCAAAAATTTCAAACAATCCAGTAAAACACTGAACACTAGGAGACTCTTCCTTTGTAACAACCTGACTTGCACTCTAGACTGCTAATTACTATAATATATTCTAAATTTGCCACTAAACAATTTTATAAGGTCATTTGATTTCTAAATATCATTGTTTTAAACTACTTTATTTCCTGAAAGCAATTTTATTTTTCCAAAGGCTAATGATATATACTCCCCAAAGTGATTAAAAAGTTTTAATGAACTTAAAATTGCAGATTGATGTGAAAAAAAATGTTGCAGGTTCCTCTCCAATTTGATAAAAAGTCTTACATTTTTGAAAGAAAATCCTTAACACAGCAGACACACTTGTCTGCACAAAGACAACAGAAGCTCCTTAAGGCACATCTTCAAAGGTGGAGAAAGAGCTGTGCTCAAGAAAGTGGAGAAAGAGCTGTGCTTAAGAGAAGGGAAGTATCTTGTTCAGCACCATT